GGCTGCAGTGGGACACAGTGGAAAAAATGTACTTAATTTTTACTAATTGACTTCATTCAAAGTAAATCCAGCCATATCCATTTACTTTCTTTATTTAGAGATAATTTGGCAATATTTTAAAATAATATGTCATTCAGACAGAAAAGAGTCTAAAAGGAAATTTAATGCTCCTCCTACTGGTCAACCAACAGAGAAGGTTGGGAAACGCTAGTATAGCTGTAACTACTCCATCACAGACTAATACATGATTCCGCGATTGATTATTATAAAAACCTTTAATTACATAGGTTACAAAACTGCTGCACGGAATTTACTACATGCTTTTTAAGGTCCCGTGGGCCACACCAAACACTTTGGCGGGCCATATTTGGCCCCCGGGCCTTGAGTTTGACATGTAGGCCTTATATATTTGTGGGGTTCTTTTACAGTCTAAAAACCCAGACAGTATCCAGGTGTGGATAAGGTCATAAACCATAAACAGTGGGCTGCGGCCCACTTGTCCAGCGACTGCTACAAGAACTGCAGCCCATTAAAACGACTGGGGATAGAAGATGAACAAAGTAATGAAAACAGAGCTCAGAGGAGACGGGGATGTTGCTCAAAGGCAGCGCTGAGTTAACGAGGTGTCGACCAAACTACCTTAGTTAGGTTTAGTTTTAGAAATCAGTGAACTGGGAACTGCCATTTGAAGACTTAAACGTTGACCTTATATGGGTTGAGTTGATGGAGCTGAAAGGCCAACAAAAAAAAAAAAAATGTGGCCCTCATTGAGAGCATGTCACTGTGGGTTAAATCTGTTATCTATCACCCTCGAGCAACAACCACATGCATTCTTCTGTCTACCGTCTTTTCTCGTCTTTGTTTTCATCTTCTTCAACTCACCCCTGTTCAGGATGTGGCCGTGGGCTGGAGCCTACACAGCTGGTACGGACTGAAGGCAGGGTTTAAGTGGAAAAGTCTCCAGTTCATTAGAGAAGTACCTGTAGAGACTCAAGGAGACAAAGCTCAACGGGAGAAAAACAGACACCAGAGCATTCATCTGAGTCAGGAGGTGAACCAGTCATCTCCTTACTGGAACTGTGCAAGTCACCACGCCCTGTAACCACTGGTCAGTGACGAGGAGACAAAATGTACCAAACTGGTGTTGCAGCAACATTTCCCTGTGAAAAGGGCGCAGGGATATTTACATAGAAAATGCAAGTCCCTGCAAGGCATTGGCCCAAAGGCAATGACTGTTAGTGGCACAGAATTCATGGTATCATTTTGTTGTCATTCTCTAACAGTTGCAACACTGCCTTTTTGCTTCCTCCTACCAGGCATCATTTCAGACCAAAAAAAAAAAAAAATTACTTCCTGTGTGTAGGACTATTTCCAAATAAAAATCATTCTGTCAGTACTGTTTGTGAAGTTTTATGAAATATTCCTCTAGATACTTGCAGGTTCGGCCACCTCGATAACACAGTGGTAACTTACACCTGGGAGCCATGATGAAGGGCAAAAAGTTTCCACGAAAACAACACAAACGAAATAAAGCCAAAGCAGCACAATCCAATGTATGGGGTTCAACCGGCGTACGTAAACAGAGACATCTTCCGCGTATACCACCGTGTACCAACGCATTTGTCCGCTTCGCTAATCGGCGATCACATCTTCCGCGTATACCACCGTGTACCGACGTATTTGTCCGCTTCGCTAATCGGCTAGTTCTGCGAAACTTGTTTTAACACCGCACGTTGCAGTGATACTACATTTTATGACACAGTCAACCTCTGAAATCCTCCTCCAACGTCGGTTGTCACTGGAACATAACAGAAATAGGCCCAAGAGCCGCGTGTTTCCGCAGCTGCAGATAAATGTCCATGGATGGGTGAAACAATTCCTAAAGAGTACGTGGGCTTTTACTGCGTTCTTCGCCTGCCAGTGCGCACCCAACCGAAACAAAAATGAAGGAGGCGCGTGATGCTTAAAAGATCCCATTTAATTTTTGGATACAAACTCAGGAAGCAGTTTACAACCCTAATTCAACATGCAGTGACCATTAAGACACATCAAATATGTTAAAGGTGGGGAAACTAGGATTAGACCGAGGTTTTTTTGGCAGATTATCGTGTTCACATTGCTTGTGTTCTAGATCCAAAACAAAAAGAAAATAAAATTAAACTTGCAAATGTTCTGACGCAGAACAATCAAGAACGATAAAAAGAAAACATTGGAAAATTGGGTTTATATGACGTAATAGTGGAAGTAAAATGTACAAAAAAGGAAGAATATGGTGACATGTGGATAATACTAATAGTCTCAAAAAGAAAACTCACTCGTTTGTTGGTGTTAAAAGTTCAGAAGGTGAAGATGTGTACAAACCCGCTCCGTCATCACTGAGGTGACTGGAACTCTCTTCTGCCCAGAGACGTCCCGGTTGGAGCAGAGGTACCGAGGTGGTGTCGCGCAACGTCTGTGCTTGACAACACGGTTACACATCAGTTCACAATCTACTTTGGTACCTAAAAGACTTCGGCTGCGTATTTACCGTCATTCAAACCCACATCTAAAAATTTACACTACGTAACAAAATAGTAAAAAATACTGTGTTTTAAAATCAGGTTGTTTATATATATATATATGTGTATATATATATATATATATATATTACAAAAAAATGTTCATGGCACGAGAATGTCCTCAAGTGGTGAAGTTCTGTACAGAGGATTTTCCACCTTCCCCCCCTTGCAACAGCCGAACGGCCTCTCTCAACACTTTCGAAAGCGTATAAAACAATATTTAACAAAGAATCCTTTCACACTGCTACGCTGTAAAAAGGTGATTCTACTATCTTAAAAACCTTAGTGACTGTACACAGTTAAAGAGTCGGGATGCAGGGCTGCGCCTCCATCAGATAAGGCGCAATTTCCTGCCTGTAATTCTTACGCAGTGTCCAACAGCCTTTGATGATTTTGGGTGAATTGAAAGAGGCTTTCACACATAAGCCCCGAGCGCCGCGTGGAACTCTGTGAGACACTGAACGAGCTGCTGGAATTTGGGCCTCTCCTCTGGGTCCAGGGCCCAGCAACAAGCCATCACTGCAAAACTGCAGAACAGAGGGAAAGAAAGAAGGAAAGAAAAAAAAAAAACAAGAAAGGAGATGAGTCACTTTACATGCCCATGACTCATTAAAGAAAACCAGGCTGCAGTGGTAAAGAGGAGAGGAATGTCACAGAAGAAAAATCCAGAGCTGGGGACTGTAAACGGTAAAGATTTAATGTAAACCTACAGCACTTGTTGTAATGTTCTGAAACAGGAGCTGCCTGCCTAGTGCTGATATAAATCAGCCAAATGTAATCATTTCTTCATCATCGCACATCCTTTTATGTTCGATGCTGCAGTATCTGCTGTTTTGGAAAGGGGAAGTCATCACCTCACCATGTATTGTATTTAGAAGGAAACCATGTTGGGTTGTTTAGCAGATGTCAGCTCATCATTCCCCGTGTTCTTTTGTGGAGCTTGAAAGTAGTTTCCAAAACATGTCCTTTTTTTTTTTTTTTTTTTTTTTCTCTCTTCCTCTAAGCTGCCAAAATCCAAAAAATGTGCGCACAATATTTACGATAATGCCGTAATCCCTGTTTTTTTTATTGCTGTCAGAAAGTTAGATAGAAGCATTAGTTTGCTAAAACTGCTAGCCAACGCGAACATTAAAAAAAAAAAAGAAAAAAGGTGGAAAAACACAGTCTCTCGTTTTTTGTTTTTGCCAGTTAACTTTACAATCTGGAGGAGACTGTGAATCGTTTCCTGGACCCTCCTTGTTAGGAGACCATAACAGTAATCTAAACATGTGGACATAAAAGCATATATCATACATTTGGCTTCTATTGAAGTCATAAACAGACACATATTTGCAATAGTCCTTTAAAAAAATAAGACCAAAATTGGACGACCTTGCTCACGTTCGATTCAAAATTAAACAATGCACGGGGCTTTGACACGGAGAGCTTTGTGTTATTGTTAAAAGGAAGTGAGGGCCTTTAACTGTGTATTCAGATTGTTGAGTTGGGGAAAAAAAACCAAAAAAAAAACCAAAAAACGTTTTATCGCAAGTTAATTGAAGACAGCAGTCTGCTTTTTATAGTTGACTAACTAAGATTTTAAAGCCGAGCCAGGATGTTCAGCTCTGCTTCCACCTCCTTAACATGGTAAAGAGTAGAACTTTTTTTTTTTTAGCTGTGTCCCTAAATATGTACGAGGGTGAAATTCAAGCTAACCTTATGTGAAAACATAATGTAATTAACTGCTCGCTATTTTTCCTTTCTTCTCCGTGAATTTTTTTCACAACTTCCTGTTTGTTCTTCAGGTGTTGCCGAGCAAGAAAATAGAAATCCTGGGAGTTGGCCGTGGCTGCAGCAGAACAGGAAGACTGTAAGAACGCTGATCTGACTGGTTTGCAGCCAGAGTCCAAACTAAACGTTTGTGAGTGTACCACAGGTCACTTTGGTGTCATTTCGTAACAGTTGCAACATTTACTTTTTGCTTCCTGTGTCCTCGTTGATTTTGGACAAGAAAACACAACATCCTGTGCACTTCAGGAATGGTCATAACCGTAATCAGCTTTGCCCAAACACATAGTACAATGATTAGCTAGTATGCTAATACACAGTCAATACAAATTTTAAGTATATTTCAAATGATAAATTATTTAGAAGCATTAACTTCCATTGCTGCAAATGGAGCTAAATGTCTCTCTTGGTATTAGACGACAAACGATTATGAAACTGCAACCAATGTATTGTCAAGAAAATAAAACAGGGGTGTCAAACTCCACATACAGCCCGATTTGTCCGGCCAAGTGGGCCGGACCAGTACAGTCCATGTTTTTCCTCTTAGTTTTCATGCATATAAGTAGAAGTATATTAGAAAATATATATTAATAAATATATGAAAGCGCATATTGGTTTCCACGCATTAGCTTTTTAGATAGGGGGCGCTGGTCGATCGTTACTGTTCTTAAGCGGTAGCTCTAGTTCAGCCGTACTTATGGAACCTCTGAGGTGATGTGTTCAGTTACACCCATTATGTGTCATTGGCCAGTTAGGAAAATCTACATGACGCAGACACACATTATGTCTCTGTCATCTCACCACTCGATTGGTTGATCGACCGTAGTTGACGGTACAGATCGCAAAGGTTGATCGCTTTTCTATTCAACATTAACATGATGCCTTTCTCTCCAGAACTTCTCTTATTTTCTACTTCCTGTCCATTTTCAAGAAGCGCTTGATAAAATTACTTTTAATATTGATCAAAACAAAGATATTAATAACGGTGATCATGATTTTCTTTCGCTTAATAGTGGATCTCTTGTTCAGAGGACAAAACTTACTCATCATTACATACATTTACTTCTCCATGTCGTCATGTCTCTCTGAAATATATTCCACTGACATTAAGAGACTGGAGGTTTGAATTGTGGTATTCGAGAGAGTGAATCATTTGCTGATGATATGAGAATTTCCCTGGGAAAAATGATCTCCACCTACACTTCTGCAAAAAACGGTTCAACAAACTCCATCGTGACATCTTCCTGATTTAGAAACACTAGACGAGCGATGACATCAGCCGCCACAATACAGAGCGGTTTACCACTGTTTGTGACTGTAGTCAACAGCCCTCCGTGTCACTCGGACTCATACAGCGCATGACACCTTCGGATTTCATCAGTCTCCAGTCAAACTTGAACTCTGACTCACTGCAGTCAATCACGTAGCAGATGATAATCCGCTACAGCTCTGCTCTGATCCAGGGAAATCCCTGCTATTATTCAGCAGTGAGACGGTGCCAGGCGACTTTAAACCCGATACGGACCAAGTTGTGTGAAAATGGGAAATGCTGCGGAGGGAAAGCGATGCCTGTGGGCACGGCTTTGGCTTTATTTGACACTTGCAGGATGTCGATAAGACGCCACTTTATCTCGGTTTGATTGGGTTCGCAGAAAAAATAACAAACAAACAAAAAAAAAACCCACCCAAAAAAAACAAACAATGAACTAATATCGTGCAACATCTGGTAAGGGTCTGAAACAACAAAGCGGGGCTGCAGCTACATGTGCATGTGGCTGCATTAGTGCACGAGTCTCCAACTGTGAGTTATACAGGCCACCTTCCAGCTCTGTCAATCACTTTAACTGCCCTCTGCTTCAATAGGAGCGTATAATGAGCTGCAGGTGAGGTCTACCTATTAGTACATTTAACACAAACAACTCCATATGTACATACATGTACATGTATGTAATATGGCCCCATGCCAGGTTACCAGCCAGAGACTCCTACCTATTTTCTCTAAAGGCTTGAGGAGAGGTCGTGTTTTTACATCTCAGGAATGTGGATGATTTCACTGTGTGTTTGTCTTTCCTTCTAATGCTTCCCCGACCGTCATTATGGCTGTTTTCCATTAAGTGATCATCATTTGGAACCCTGTTAATGATCGCTGCAACTGCTTCTAATGATCAGTTTGTGTTGTTGATTAATTCGATTATTTTTTTCCACTCTGTGTTTGCTGCAAGATGTCAAAAAGGCCTGGAAAATGTCTTCGGTCGAATTCAACTTAGGGTCAAGGTTTACAGAGATTTTGCGGGAGAATTTATCTTCAGAACAGCCGTTGACAATAGTAGAAAAAGACGTTATTTATTCTGAATCAAGGTCTGTCGCTGTTAAAGTAGACCTTAGAATGTTCAAAAGTAAAGTGCTGTAAAGTGTAAAGTGTGACTATCAGTCAAAGTGACCGTTAATGAACAAATTGCAATCAATACATTCAATGTCCCTACAGGCTATTTTTGTGCAACGCATAGTACTGACGATCCAAGCTCATAGAGTGCAATGCAATTTCTCTGGCTACAAATATGCAATGAAGTATTTCATATATCAGTATGGACTGACGTGAAGTCACATTGTATGTCTCACCAGTGGTTTTAGGTTTGATTGTGAAAAAATGTGCGTAAATCAAAATGCAAGCGATGCGAGCTAACCGCTACGCTACGCGAACCACAAAACAAATTCTACGAATTTGCATGCCATACTAATCTTGTGTGTGTGTGTGTTCCGCAGCCTGTGTGTGTGTGTGTGTGTGTGCTGATTAAATCAACCTACAGTTCATCCGGACAGTTGATTGGTTGCGCTATTCTGTAGCCGTCCTTTAGATAGGCCGACATCTCGAAGGGGTCGATGTCCACGTACGGCGTCTGACCCAGAGTCATCAGCTCCCACAGGGTCACTCCGAAGGCCCACTGTGAAAACACAAGCAGTTGTTCAAAGCACGTCATACACACCAAAACAAAAACGGTAAACAAACAGCCACAGTGCAAATAAGTTCAAATACAAAACGTGTCTTGATGTACAGTAAACCTCCACCTCTTCTGAAGAAGTTGTAGGTAAACACTGGTGTAACACTGTACTGACACTCACTGTGACCTCGCATTATGAAAGTAGGAAAATATCTAATTCCATGTTTCTGCTCACATCAATCTAACAACGAATGTTAGCAATGTCTCGACGCATACTTCTCCTTGTGGGAGAAGCTATTCAATTCCAGCTAGCTAACATGACAGTGACTGATGAAGAGAACACACTGAGTGATCCCTGAAAAGAGCATATCTCTGTTCTGGTAGAGTGCCATAACCTTGACGGGGTGACACAGGACCTTTAGAGGAAGCGAAGGGAGTGTCGCCCGCTCTGCTATCCTGAGACAGGAAAGAGGGAAGAGCTGAAGAATCGCGAAGCTAAACAGTGCTCCTCCCTTCCCTCTGATACCTTCATCATCTGTCTGGGAAAAGCCCGAATACAATTGGTGCCATTTCCTCCATGGGCTACGCTTCATTATGTCCCCTTTAAAAAAAAAAAAAATGTATCTTTGAAAACCCACGAGAGACATCAAATGTTGGTTATTTTCTGGTTGGGGGAACTCATTGTTCACAGACGTTACACGGATGCTGCCTTGATCTCAATGAAGGGGAGCTCTGGCAGATCGTTTCTTACCACATCACTCGCGCTCGAGAAGTCATTGTTGAGCAAGCTTTCCAGGGCCATCCAGCGAACGGGCCGGTTCTCGTTATCGCCCAGACAGTGGTAATCCATGGGGAATAGGTCCCGAGCAAGAGCATTGTCTGTGATCTTCACCTGCATGTTGTCGTCAATGCTATGGGAGGGGTGGATGGGGAAGGAGAGCGGGAGGGGAGAGTTTGGATAAGGGTTGAACAGTGAATACAACCCCAGTACAAAACAGCTCGAAGCTTCAGGGAAACGCCAGGACGGCTTCCAAAACAGCCTTGAAGCTCGTTCCAAGGACACTTACACACAGTTCCTGGCGGCAAGATCTTTGTGTATCACCTCCCGGCGAGCCAGGTAGCTCATACCACAGGCAATCTGGATTGCCATGTACACCAAGTCTTGTTGAGAGATTGCCTGAAAGGAAACACAGAAGGGAGGGAAAAATCAGCAGAAGGAAAAGCAAACAAAAAGGAGGTCGCGGGGACAGGAAGTCACAGCTGATACAACCGTACTGAGGAGGAACCATAGTGAAAGTAAAAAGGACTGAAAATTGAAAACAACAAACAACTAAATTCATCTATCTAAAAAAAAGGTAAGATGTTTCCCATGTGTGTCAATTAGCCATTTGGGACGTGTTATTGTTTTCCACCTCGAGTAATCTGATTACAATCACACCGGTGGATGCGCGGATCCATGAAAGAATTTCCTGACTATGCTATATTTAAATTCAAAGGATTCTCAGAGTGACCGGTGAAATGATCTAAAAATATTTTGTTAAAAGGGCTGACCACTAATCATTTCTGCGATTAAATTGATATTAAGAATTGTCAATATTAAAGAATGCAAAAGAGCTGCTACAGGCTGGTCCTGAAAACACACACATATTTTTTTTTTTATTTCCATTATTGACATCTGACTGTATATTAGTTAAATTTCTGTTATTTTTCTAATATAATAACATTTGAACCCCATATTGCTAGCAGCACTGATGACCTAAAGTCAGACACAGGTCAAAAACAGAATAAAATATTTTCTGACTTTCAAATAGGGATGAGCGTGCATTCAGCTTTTTGAATAGGTTTATGTTCAGATTAATTATAATCTCTAATTACTATTTCGAAACCAGTACTTTCAGTTGGTCTGAAAACCCTCTGCCGCCACCTGGGTGTGAGAACAAAATGTTTTTTTTTTTTAGAGACGGAGACAATAACACACATAAACCATGTTGGCATAGGGCTCAAGTGGGATTTCAGCCGTTGCAAAACAGAAATGGAACCACAATCACCGGTCCAGTGGTGGAAGAAAGTACCGAGAAATTAACACAATGATGTTGACTCGTGTAGCAGCACCGTGACATTGTGAAGGGTGAGAAGATGTTATCTAAGCTGGCAGACTTAGTAGCGCTTTAAAAAAAAAAAAAAATAGAATGTGTTCATTCATGTCCAGATGTATGACCACGTTTGTCCTTAGTCAACTTTCCAGGGTGGTTAGTTCTGTAGACAGAATGGATTTAGACCTGTTTTGAGTCTTGTCCTTGTGCGATCTTATTTCTCAGTACGCATAATTAAAAGTTAATAAGCAGGTCTATGATGCAGACACCAAAACCCCTTTTTTTTTTTTTTGCTCTTTGAAAATGCCACCATTATAAATGGTTAACAGGACGGCAGTATAATTGAGGACAAGCGTCCATTGTGCGGGCGCTGTGAACACTGACGATTCTTTGACGTTTCCCTGAATGCCTTCGAGAACTTAACACCAGTGTTTTAAGTGAGACAAATTCAAAATCGACCGAACAAGTACTCATTAAACAGAGTGAGACATTTACGTAGCCTGCGGAAAGAGCTGGAACAAGATCCCTTTATTGTTCCTTGTCATGCTACCAACAGATATTTTTGGAAATGCACTAACGAGCGTGTTATGAAGCACTTAAAACAATTTTGTTAGCACGCTTAGTTACGATGGTGAATAGAGCGTCGAGCAAAGGTCACTTGGTTTACCAAGTTATTTGTCAGACGTATTGACAATTATAATGCATAAAATAATGCAATAATAATGTTATTTGGCACAACCACAGATTTGGTTTAATCCAAAAAATAAAATAAAATAAAACTAAATTACGACAAGATCATTTGTTGCAATACCGAGCAAGGTAACAAAAAGGAAAACAAAAACAAATATAAAAAAAAAGAGTGTACAGATGGCTACATTATTAAGTTTTGCAATAACATGTTAAAAGCTGGGTTTGATTCCGACTGTGTGTCTGTGTATCTGGACAGTCAGGACACAAACAACACAGGTTTTATACTATCCTTGTTACCACGATGAAAAAAAAAAACAAAAAAAAAAAAACTGAGGTGCAGAAGAAGAACAGACCCACAATAGAGAGGAGCCAGTAAGTCTCGTCTGTAGTGAGGCACAGTCGCAGTAATGAAAGAATCTTATTAGTGGGAACATGCAGCTAAAGTGGACGAGTTGTACGGCAAATTGTGCACGGATAAAGTCAACACAGGTGTCCGCGCTCCGAAGATCATATCCTGTCGGAGAAGCTTTTCTGCAGAGAAGTTAATACATAACATAGAGAAACCTAACCTTTGAGAGAAAAGGTGATATTGAACCGTCTAACTGTTCACTACTGCAAAATTAAGTGTCTGTTGTTGCGCTCGAGGAGATGTTTCTTTACGGGACAGGAAAGGCAAAAAAACCAAAGTTAAGGATATGTTTGAGCGTGTTTTTTTTTTTTTTGTGGAGTAGCATCCTTATAACACCAGTTCTCATTTCTCATTCCTCGCCCAAACCCCCCTGGTCACACACTTGGCCAAGATGAAGCAGTTCCAACTATTGCTTCAGGGGGGGAGTTGGTGTAATCTGTACATTCAATAATTTAGTATGGCTCACAAAAAATGTTATAAACCTGAAACGGCCCACTACAGGAGTAGAGTTCTCTTCCCCTGATTTAGCTAGAAACCCTGCTGTGTCAAAGCACAGCCCCCTCCGCCTCCCCCCGCCCCTCACCATCCCCCGAGCTGTTAGCAAGGCTGTGAACTTGTTTTGTTTCCCTGTCTCATAGACAAGAACAACACATTACATCAGGGCTGAAACGTAAAATAGCCCATCAATAATTCAAGTTGAGGAAAAAAAAAAATGACGCGACCTTTGGCGTGGCTGGAGGTAAAGTCTGTTATTGAAACAAAAAAAAGCCAAAAATAATAATTTTCTGCTGAAATATGCCGTTAGTGGAGTTGAATCTGTCTGCAGAGAGAAATAGAACAAAACCATCCATGTTTGCATTGGTCCTATATCAGCCTGGCTTTCTGTATGTTATTCACCTCGGCCACTGGGACGCAGTGTTCAGGAAGAAAAAAAAAAAAAAATGGCAACTCAGTTTACAACACAAAGAAACTGCGTCACTCATTCCACAAACGGAACAATGAGGAGAATAGCGCTCACCTGGTATCTATCTCCAGTGATGTAAATGCTGGAACAACTGAACGGACAAAAACAAAGCCTCAAAAGAGAGAAATAACCCAGTTGTCGCGGGGACAAAAACAGGTAAAGGAAGGTTTGTGCTAGAAAAACGGCCCTCCGATGCGTACAGAGAGCTTCGGGACGTTGGGAGGCGTCACACCGATTGTCTGTGTGCGGTTGTGCAGTCTGTCTTCTTTCTTTGAGACGAGTAACTCAAGCACCTGGCTGTGTGCAAACGTTATTTAACAGAGAACATACGGTTATTTGTTCAACTTTTGCTTTTGTTTTGTGCTCTGGAAATCACCAGAGCTGGTAGACTTTTTATTCTGAACCCATATCTAGGTAATCCTTTCTCTATTCTAACAGGGAACTGAAGGACATGCAGACGTTGCACTGCACAGACATAGAAAGACCCCTGACTGCTTCTCTGGACTTACTAAATATAAACATCCTGTGCAGCTTTAAAAAAAAAAAATTCTTTGGGGTGAGCTCCTAATTTAAAGTGACAAATGTGAATGCATTCATCCTCACTGCTGTGCAGGACACCTGCGACGGGCAGTCCGCCGCATGACCCCGGCCTGAACAACCGAGTGGAAAACTTGGCCGTTTAATCTTATCACAGCGTGAACATTGTGATAGAGACTATATTAAATAATCCTGACAACTGTGAAAAAATAAAGTCTTGGCAAAAAAAATATGGACCGAGATAAGACGCTCTAAAGTCAACAATTCAGGCAAAACAGAGATGTGAGTAGCTGGTACTACACCATCAAGAGCACAGTTGGCTGTCAGTGGGGAAACGACAACTGTGAAAAAGGTCAAGACTCACCTCCATCCCTCTTCCTACCTTTCAAACCAGATGTTCATAAATAGCACTACGGTGTTTGCACTCTGTTCTCGCCTTTCATTCCTCCATAATCGCTGCATTGCTTCATACTTCTTGCACATGTTAATGACTTCTTTTTCTCAGGCACATTTTCTCACGCCACAAATAATGGGAATAATAATAAAACAATGAAGTAAATTTAGTGAAAGATTCTACAGGGGTTGTGATGTAAACAATATTCATAATTATTCATAACTTTTTTTGTTTAACCGGCAGACATCTCACCATTTCAACAGTCCTTCTAGTACATACGTGTCAAACTCAAGGCTCGGGGGCCAAATGCGGCCCGCCAAGCCATTTTGTGTGGCCGGCGGGAGCTTAAAAAGCATTGAATAAAGTCCATGCAGCAGAGTTTATCAACCTATGAAATTAAAAGTTTTCTTTTTTTATTACACAGCAATGAACAATATTTGTAGCTTGAATAAATAATAATCAATTGCAGAAACATGTATTAGTCTGTTATGGAGGAGCTACATCTATACCAGACTCTAGTCTGTTTGTATCAAAGTCTGAATGACTTTTATTTTAAAATATTGCCAGATTATCGTCAAATAAAGAAAGTAAATGAACTTTTTTTTTTTCATTTTTTCCACTGTGTCCCACTGCGGGCTGGTACCAAAGGACCTATGGACTGGTACTGGTCTACGAACCGGGCGTTGGGGACCCTGATCTAGACAGTCTTCCATTTAAAACCGGCCCTTCAACAGAAACTGTATTGCTGATGTGGCCCCCTGGTGGAAATGAGTTTGACACCCCAGTGTAAAAAGTTAGTACCCAGGCACAAACCACTCTTTCAGGCTTCACACTGGGAAACAATACGGGTTTTCATTCAATTTAGGGCATTTCATTCATTGGCTTAATAAATAACCCATAGCAGTGGGGTATCACAGTGTATGTGTTCATGTATCGAAGCATTTATCCAAATGGCTCAACAAGCGCTTTCCAGCTCCAGCAAATGTATGAACGCTCAAGCCTCACCTGTGGATTGTTCGCCTCGGCTAACTTGCACTGTCGCAGAAAAAGTTTGAGATTCCCCCAGGCCACAAAGGGCAGCAACACCATGGGCTTCTGTCCGTCCTCCGTGCACACGTGACTTATGGGGAGCAGATTTCTAAAGGGAAAAGACAATGAGCGATTGTTGAAGGTGAGCATTGTGCAACAGGTCATGTGTAGTATTTCGTACATGCACTGACGATTGATGTATGTCAAAGAGGTTCGTGGAAATTAGGGTCATTCAAAGCACTGCCGAGGAAGAGGAAGTGAGCTAATCTTTTCAACTCGGTCACCTCTAAAGGAGGAAGGGCAACGTGACAAAGAACCTTTTCCACGTTTGACTCAAAGTTTGACACTGAAACCGAAACAATTCCATTCTTAGTGTGAGACCCAAAATATGGACAATTAAAATGTGACTAGATTTAAGACACCTAACATGGAAGAAGAAAGGAAAATGTCCAATTCCTTGGGAGGTGTGAACGTCTTATTTGTCGATGAGTTCAAACTCTAGCAGGATCGTCTTGTTGTAAAAACTTTTATGACTATTGTAGAGCATTAAATGCTACCAAGGAAGACAACGAGCCTCGAGGCTTTATTTAACTCATTTAGCTTCAATGAAATCTAAAGGTCAAACTGTGTCACTCCTAAATCGATTATGTGGACGATATGAATGTGGAACATAGAGATATTTGGTCTGGGAAAACACCATGGTTTTTTTTTCTTTTGAACATCATGTACATTTTTTTATGAGCAGTGGTTTGATGTCAGAAAACTATATCGCTAAGACCCCATCTCCACAATCTCTCCACAGCTAAGTGAAATTAGCATTATGAATATCAAAGACTAGCATGCTCAAATGATTATTTATTCTAAACCAAATATGCGGAAAACTAACCAACTAACTATTCTAAATAAGGAAGTAAAATTGATTTCCAGTTTTTTACATGCATCTTGTTGTGTTGTAATTAACATTGTTGTGAAGTAGTGGGTGAATTGTAATTGAAAGTTATTATTTTTCATTTTTCCCCAAAACCTTAACATTCATTATAGTCTCTTTAGGCCCATAGTCTGAACATGTTTATTTTAATTTAACTTGTTTTCTGTGTGCCTTAGTTTTCACTTTTTTTGCTTTTCTTTTTTTTTCTTTTTCTTGCTCACACGCGGACTAAAGAATGCGACCCTAGGTCAGATCGCATTTCACTATTATTATAGCTGTATAATGATCATGTGACAAATAAAACTCAATAGCGATAGATTGAACTTCATGAATCCCTCGGGAGTTTGCTTCGGAAAATCAGGGCTATAAAATATTCCGGTGTTTTTTGCGTGCGTCTCCACTCACCTATGATGAAGTCCACGAAGTTTACAACTTTCAGTCAACATCATGGTCACCTGAACTTCAGATGCATGATCTGAAAAAGATAATAGAAACAGAATCTTTAACTACCAGCTAGGTGACACAATCTTGCTTATAATCTTATACACATTCCTGTACTAATGCTCAAGTTTAAAGGCGTGAATACTTCTTTGGTGTAATGTCACGGGTAGGGGGGAAAAGCACATTTCTTTTTTATCACAGAAGGAGCATTAGAAGGAAGTGCAGAGTTTAACAAAGCCAGGATTGGCATGAGGATATTGTTCGCTGCAAGGTATCCACCCCTCCCTGAGTAAACATGCGGGAATGCAGAGGTCAGAAGGCAACTGGCAAAGAGGGTTGACACACACTTCTAACAAACAAGCAGACACTCCCATGTTAAAAAAAGGCATTTCACTGGCATGCAACAGGAGAGCAAGACACAGAACTTGACTCTAGTTTTAATGCCAACTGAAACAATGTATAGCCATCTGTTGAAGCTATGGGAAAAGCCCTTCATCAGCACATAACCACTGGACGGATGCGCGACCTGGACATTGTACATGTCTAAAAGGCAGTGACGCAGCTGTTGACAGAAACCTGTATTGTAAAATCAAAGCCAACCCTGAGTGGACATTGGAGCGAGACATGTTGACATTCCTACTGGGATTACTTGAAACTGACTCATAAAGAGACATGGTTTAAAAAAGTACTAGGTGTATTCTGTTTAAGAGTATTTTTGAGGCTCCCTGCTGTGGCAGTGCAACAACCTCGTTTTTTCTGTTCCACTCTACCAGCAGTTCAAGCTGTTTTCTACCACTTGTCAGACATGAAAAGTGCAGAATTCCCTCAGGTCACGCGCTGCACTAACAACACAACCCGAGCGGTCTGACAGCCGTCAGTTCGGATGCTGGCTTCTTTAAACAGGACACAGCTTTTAGAGGAATTTCTCATGTACCAAAAAGAAGTCGACCTCTGACTCGGCTCGCAAGAGAAGGTTTAGCCAGTTTCAAGAACATGACAAGTACGAGCAATATTTAATACCTAGATGGACGGAACCGCGTACGAGGATTTAACTTGCACGTTGCCTTTGCAGCGCTTGTTTCCATAACATCATTCAATGGATTATGTTCCAAGTTTGAAGCAGCACAGGTTTTCCTCTCCAAATATGTAAAATCTAATTGTGTATTATTCATAACATAGAGATTTACTGATGTTTCATATATTAGTATCCAATGGAAAGAAGTAGAGAATAATACATAAACAAATCCAAGGTCCAAGACCAGACGGAGATATATACCGTATAGGTAGTTTTTACAAAGAATCCAAACTTTTATTAAAGGAAAAAATACGTTTTTTACAATGAATTTCTATATTTTCTTGTTCATATATGTACATGCAAACATAAACAGCCAAGAGTGAAGGCCGGCTAGCCTCTGAAAACAAACAAAGACAACAACAACACAAGGATTACAGTAAGAATTGTAAATTGCAATCTGGCATAAATGAATAATATTTGGCCAATAGGAAATCCTCTCATTTACACATTTGGTTAAGCAGAAGAGTTCATGCCATCAAATAAGGAGACAAGCTTTAAAAAACTGGTATAAAATGATGATCTGGAATTTATCACAATATGAATCAGATTTCCTAAATGTATAAAAACAGCTGCATTATGCAATTTAATTAAAATTAAACTCCAACAATCAAAGCCGTCTGGATGTTCCAACCTAAGCGATCTGGTCTCTGGCATACTGACGGTGTTGTGTGGTACACTGTGTGTTCCTATAACCTAATTAGCCTCTTTTGCCAATTACTCCAATGGGGGGTTGTTATGTAATTACCCAGTTCACCCAAAGATGAAAACAACAGTGTAACGTTAAGGAGAGTTTAACCGAGGTCAGAGTTGCCACTACATGAACAATACAAACCCTAGATTATATTATATCAAGCATAGTATTCATGTATTTTTACGATTAATACAGATTAAGACCATATGTTTATGTCAAAGTCAGGCCCCAAATTTCTATTTATGAAGCCACCAGTTTCTGTCCTTTTCTCTCTCTCCCCCCCGTTCTTTGTTTAACTTTAACCTTGTCTGCCCTCTCCCTCTCTACCTGCCCCGCCCTCACCTCTCACACCGAGCGACAACACGGCAGGACAGGACAAGCAATTTACAGGAGATCTCTGTCAAGCTGTCCCTGCTACAGAATTAAAAATAAAAATAAAAAACACTGCAAACACTGCAATTATAACTGTGCAGTAACTTAATAACAATACAACAGAAGAAGGTATATGCAGAAATAATATTTATAAATATATATATATGCACATATACATATGCATATATGTGTTAAAGCATTTATTTTATTAAATTATTTAGCAAAATATCAATACGTGATCTATGGACCCTATCGCAGCAACCACAAAACTATTTGTCTTTTTTTTACTTCAATAATCAAAAGGTGGACTGACAACAGCACTAAGTCATAATGTTGTAATTACATTGCGAAAAAACAATCATTTTCATCAATTCCTGCGGCATTATCCCAGATACTTAAGGGAAGGGAACTCGAACTCTTCGTGCGTATAAGACAGAATTCACCAACACGTCCTGACTACTTCAATAACGTCCAACAATCCCCGTCTTTTACTTCCCAAATTCAATGAAATACAATGGGAGACTGAAATATGTCCTTTCTATCTCCCCCTAAACCTAGAAACAGACATGTGAGGAAACTCATTTATTGAGCAGCTCTAACATCTGGAGAGAGTTCAGATGGAAAATTCTGACAAGATACTTTAGAACCTCACACATAACAGCTAAATGGCAACCATCGGGATCAGATATACTGTATGCTGGAGGAACTGCGGACAGCGCATTGGGAATCATACTCATATGTTGTCGGCGCGCCTGAAATAGACGAAAGGTCTGAGCGAGGATATTTAACGTTCTCGAGGTAGACTGTCTAAACATGATATATAATAATGAAACATAGTGGTTAAAACAAAGATTTGATTTGTGAAGTATGACAGATATATGTCATTAAGAAAATACATCTCAAGACTTTAATGGTGGAAATCTGATGCAAAAGGTTTTCAGACAGACAAGAAAATGCAACCTTCCCACAGAAAAGGTCGTCATTTTTCATCTGTGTATTATAATAGTTTATGCATCTATTGGGTTGTTTTTTTAATGATCCATGATTCTCAAAGATGTCATACCATCAGGTACATATAAAGACCCATGCTCTGTAGCAAATATAACAAGAAATATTAGACTTCTCTTACAACAACTACTACTACTACTACAATATACCAAGTTTGAAGTAGCATCTGTCTTGATCAATTATTGGACACAAAAGCAAAACAGTCTTGTAGAGAAAAAGTATACACTTTTTCCACAAGTCTCCTTTTCTTAAATGGCTTGTATAAGTCATTTTAAAGCATATACAATAGTGGTTAACTAAAAATATGCAATTAAAAAGTGTTTTGATATTCAACAGTATCACATACACTATCACAGGTATTTAAATATGCACATTGTGTAGCCTTAACGGACCATGTTAAAGCATTAAAAATCTCTTCTTTTTTTTTATCTAAATGATAAAGCTGCACTTCAGTTAGTTTTTGGGTTTGTTTTTAGAGTCCTATTTTAGTGCGTGACACTGACACCACAGGACTGTGTCGACGCTGTCGAACGAGAGTTTTACATTATTAAAGATATAAAAATGACTTTGACACATACCTTTCACTGTTTTCACAAAGACCTGCTTCTCCTTAGTGGGGTCCTTCTCATCTAGCAGAAAACCATGGAAGATGCGGCCAAATGTACCTGTGAAAGAAAAAAAAAATCTTTGAATAAAGGGAAAAAATGATAGAATGCTAAAGATGTTGATTCAAGACCCCTTTTTAACTGGCTTTCCTGGCTACTCAGTGAACAGAGGTAGACCAGGCTCAATCTGATCCACAGGTAACCCGCGCGATTCGATACTTATTTATATATTTCCAAATGCTCAACTTTGCGCAACAAACAGTAGCGACAGACTGCGGCAAAAGTAAGAAGGTATTGGTTTGCTATTGGTTTGGTAGATACTCTAAGTTGCAGTATCAGTATCTGACGTGTATTGGTTTGCTATCGGTTTGGTAGATACTCTAAGTTGCAGTATCAGTTTCTGACATGAAAAGATGTAGCTATTAATGCTTTGTTG